TCAAAGAAAATATTTTAAAGTATAATATTTGTATATGTATCTTTATAGCAATACTGTTGTAAACTATTATTATTATGATGATTTATTTTAAAACAATTAAAAAAAAATTTAAATGGAGGAATGGGCCCAGCAAGGCACAAGTTCCTAGGACTGCTGAAAGTCGTCAGGCAGCCCTGCTCTGCATTCCTTCCTTACTGGGATATCCCACGGTATTTAAGGTTGCCAGTAGGAACCCAAAGTCTGAGGCAAAGAGATTATCCCTTGAATTCCAAGGTTATTACCCATTTACTTGTACCAGAGATATTGTGCTTGAAAACAGCAGTCCTGCGAGGTCAGGCTTGCCTCCACAAAAGAAGCAGAGGAGGGAAGGCAATTCCACGGGTGAAATAAAAGCCTAAAATATCTGAAGAATTTTCTCCCACTTGGAGACTAATGAACATGGGTACAGTTTGCTAGAGATAAAGTATTTTCATGCATATTATATCACGAACCCCATAACAACCCCACTGCAGTACTGACCCACGTAAACCATGAAAAATTAGACTCAGGGAAGGCAAGTAGCCTTTCCGGTTTCCTACACGGTTATACCTCCTGAAGGGTTAGGTCAACCCAAGGCTTTTGACTCCAAAGTTTTTGCTTGTTGCTGGTGGCCAGAGGCACTAAATTTGGAAGCAAATTTTTTGGTAGATAGTTTACCTGACCAAGCAAAGTGGGCAGTGACTTAGGACACACCCAAAGGAGTCTAAGAACAGACATAGGACCTTGGGGGTTCCTTTCTTCCCAGATATGCCGCCAGGTTATCCATGATGCAGCCTGTCCATTTCCCACCATCCTTTCCTGTCCTAACCTGTGGTGCTTTGAAGTCAGAGGCTGGCTTTCTGGGGCAGCTGAGGAAGGCTGTCCTTACCAGACAGAAGGAATGCTCACTTGGTGCAAGGGGTGAGGGGCTCCCAGATCCAGACAGCAAAGGCACTTCCATGCTTTCCAGCAACACCACTGCTGCCCACACCCACCTTTCCAGCTTGTCCTTGCAGTGCTAGCCTGAGTGATCTGGGGCCCTTTCCGGGGTCTCGTTAGAGCAATAACAATGCATAAAAGGAACATGTGACAGGGTGGCTCCCCAACAATCCTTGCTTTCTCCACCTCAAGGAAGTTAGGCAGACAAACTAGAGCAGTGGCAACCAAAAGTGGAGGTGCCCCGACTGACAGCATCTGCATCACCCAGGAGCCTGTTAAGCAAATTCTCGGGCCCATCTTGACCTACTGATGGAGAATCTGTGAAGGATGTGTGGACGAAGAATGGTGCCTGCTATATGAGTAAACAAAGGAAGCCATCAGCCACTGTAGCTGCCCTGATTTCAATGGGCCCAGATTCTTGCATCTTCCCATATACAAAAAAGCACTAAATTCATTAACTTGAGATGTCTGGTTTTCTTTAATTAACAGTGATCATTTGGGACTTCCCTCGTGGTCCAGTGTGTAAGACTCCATGCTCCCAGTGCAGGAGGCCCGGGTTTGATCCCTGGTCAGGGAACCAGACCCCGCATGCATGCCGCAACTAAGTGTTTGCATGCCGCAACTTAAGAGTCCGTATGCCACAACTAAAGCCACAACTATGAAGGTCAGTCTCGGGCCGCAACTAAAGATCCCACGTGCCGCGTGCCGCAACTAAGACCCAGCACAGCCAAAATAAATAAAAATTTTTAAAAAGACAACGATCATTTGATGTTCCAACTACCTGTTTTTGTTGTTGTTGTTGTTGATTTGTTTTTCCAAAATCTCCTATGTATCCTGGCTCCTTCCTTACCTCTTTGGAGCAGTCCCTCCCAAATATCTGACAGGCTGCCTCCTGGGCTGAAGTCCTCAGCGAGTCCACCACATAAAACATAATTCTCAACTTTTAAGTCGTGCATTGTCTCTTCAGTCCACAGTGGGACTCAGAAATCTGTGTCCCATCCACCTCCCAGGCGACTCTCAGGCACGCTAAATTTGAGGGGTTGTAGCCACAGAAACATAGAGGGGGGAGGCCGGAGAGAAGAGGACTGCGCCCCAACTCCTCTATCTCTGAGTGGTGTATAGGCGGCATATTCTCTTTCGTAACCATTGCCAAGGTCTCCGTGAGGGGCTGGTAATGCAGTTCGCTCGGTGGGACTAACTTTTTCAAAGACGCTTCCCCTCCTATGTAAGAGGCTGAACTCTCTCCCCAGGCAGCGTAGCGAGCGGATCTCGGGCAGCCTCAATTTCCTAAGGCTGGAAAGAGCGACGCAGGCGCACTGACTCCCCCGCCAGGCCCCGCTCCACCGCGAGCAAGCGCGCTCCCAGGCTGCCTGCCGCCCCTCCTCCCTCGTCCCCCCGCGCCGCCCCGCGCCGCCCCGCGCCGCCCCGCCCCGCGTCGCGCCGCCCCGCCCCGCGTCGCGCCGCCCCGCCCCGCGCCGCCCCGCCCCGCGTCGCGCCCCCCTCGCCCCGCCTCGCGCATGCGCAGCGGCGTTTTTCCCGTGACCCTCCGCGGCGCAGGCAATTTGTAGCTAATGGAGGGTCCTTGGTCTCAGGCTTGTTGCAAAAGATGCTCCTCTACTAGCTGTGCGTGTGGCGACAAGGGCAAGTGGAGCAACTCCTCGCTCTTAGGCAAGCGGCTCTCAGAAGACTCGAGCCGCCACCAGCTGCTGCAGAAGTGGGCGAGCATGTGGAGCTGCGTGAGCGGGGACGCGTCGGTGGCCTGCACGGAAAGGACGCGGCGCGAGGAGGCTGCGGAGCCGGCGGAGGAGGAGGACAGGCCGCTGGTGTTTCTGTGCTCTGGTTGCCGGCGGCCGCTGGGCGACTCGCTGAGCTGGGTGACGAGCCAGGAAGACACCAACTGCATCCTGCTGCGCTGTCAGTTCGGGCGGGGCGCTTAGGACTTAGGACCGCCTTCTTCCCGGGTGTGCCGCACCTGGGCGGCCCCGGAGGAGGCGGAGGTGTTTTGGGGCCTCCCAGGGTCTTTATTTTTATTTATTTGTTTATTTATTTTTTAATACATTTATTTATTTATTTATTTATTTTATTTTTGGCTGCGTTGGGTTTATTCGTTGCTGCACGTGGGCTTCCTCTAGTTGGGGCGAGCGGGGGCTACTCTTTGTTGCGGTGCGCGGGCTTCTCATTGCAGTGGCTTCTCTCGTTGCGGAGCACGGGCTCTAGGCGCGCGGGCTTCAGTAGTTGTGGCATATGGGTTCAGTAGTTGTGGCTCGCGGGCTCCAGAGCGCAGGCTCAGTAGTTGTGGCACACAGGCTTAGTTGCTCCGCGGCACGTGAGATCTTCCCGGACAAAGGCTTAAACCCGAGTCCCCTGCATTGGCAGGCAGATTCTTAACCACTGTGCCACCAGGGAAGACCCTCCCAGGGTCTTTAAAAGCTGATAAATCTGAGACGGTGAGCTGCCGCAGAAAAGGGGAGGAGGAGAATCACCCCTGCACCGTGGACTCACGAGTGACAGGTTCTTTTCTGAGGTTCCCCCATCCCAGAAGAGCAGTGGATGAATCAGTGTCGTCGTGAGCATTACTTGGCAAAAAAATGCCCAGCTAGGTTGTAAGCATTCAGGGTGTAGATATTCTGTGTTACTCCTCCTGGCAATTAGCGGGCTGTTAATCGGTAAATCGTATTGTTAATGGTTTAGGACATTTTAAGCTTTTCAGCTGCCTGCTTCCTTCGGGGGATGTCAGGGTTGATTTCTCAAGTCTTCATAGTTGTATCAGCGGACACCTTTACCATCTGAGGTGTTAACAACCGTAGAGTTGACAGGACATAATGGTATCAAAAAAATTCAAGGAGACTTGCAATAAAAGTACCAACAATCCTATCAAAATGGGAGAGGAAGGAGGATGTAGTAAACGTACAGGTAACTGGTAGAGCCAGTATCTTTTGAAACCAGTGTGTTTCGCCAACGTTTCCTGGTTTTGTTGTTTCCATAGTATTTATACAGGGGAGTGGTTCACATATTTTTTCTGAGTTGGTGTAAAAATGTATGTTCTTTTTGGACTTGTGGTTTTCAAGATGAAATTTATGCTCTGTTTGAACTCTGTAAATATTTTATGGCAGAAATTCACCACCGATTCGTTGACATTTGTGGAATGTTTTCCTTCCTGGGATATATTGGGAAGAAAGGAGGACAGCAGTGTCCACCTGTTAACCTGAAACTTTTTGGAACCTCTTTTCCTTAAGGATGCAATTAACGATAATTGCTGAGTCTCTTTCAGTTGTTAAACAAAAGCCTAAGAACATACATTTCCCATACAATTCATTGAGATTAACCCTTTGCAGCTATTAAAATCAATGCAAAAGGACTTATCCCCCAATGCTGACACTCTCATGTCCCCAGAGTTCAACATGCTTTATTCTCAATTATACTTCCAGATACTCTCCATGCATGTATGAGCGTGTTTAAATATGTAAATTTTTTGGAATTCCCTAAAGATGTAAATTTTTCAAAACATACTTGAGATTATATTATTTATACTGTTAAGCGTCCTTACTTTTTTATTCTGCACATATATTCTGAATATTTTTCCATATTAGTGCATATAGATATACTTGACGTTTTCAATAGCTTCTTGTACCCCCGCTGAGAGGCAGTATAGATCATGGCCCTCAACTGCATGGGTTTGAATCCTGGCCTGCCACTTACTAGCTGTGTCTTTTTGGGCAAGCTACTTAGTCTCTCTATGCCTCAGTTTTCTCCTCTGTAAAAATGGGGATAATACTTAATGGGGTGATTAGGAGGATTAAGTGAGTTAATGTGTGTCATGTGCTCAGAAGACATAGGAAGTGCCACGTAAGTGATACCTTTAATGGAGATGCCGTTCATCTTCCCAGTCTGCCCCTGTTGACAGAGGTCTGGGTTTTTTCCCAGTGTTGCCACCATTAGAACAACATGTATGTATTTGGGTTGATTTTGATACAGTAGGAGAAGCTCTTCCTTTTAGTAGGTGAGTTTTATGTCATTTACATAAATGTCATTGACATTTATGTTATTTTTAAGAAATAATATTGATATGTTTGGTGTTAAATCTTTACCATCCTTTCCGTTTTTATGTCTTTTCTCTCCTTTATCACGTGGGCGCTTTTGTTTTATCTTTGAAAACATTATTCCGTTATTTAGTTTGTCTACACCAGTAGTTTTTAAAATTTAAAAAGTATATATAAATATCCTTTTTTATCAGCTTTAGACAAATTCATTTAACACCCTCCCCCCCCCTTCCTCCCAGTGAAAGATTAGAAAATGAACTTTGGATTAATTTCCATTCCCCTCCCTGCTCCAATTGGAGTTAGTTTAATTGTTTTTACTTTGTCAAGGTTTATAACATTTACATACTGTTCTGTAGCCATAGCATCGTCATTTAGCTTTAATATAATGTTTCTATGAACTTATTTCTCAAGTCCAGGACTCTTATTAATAATGAGAAAGCTTATTAATAGCTTTCTCATTCCTGTGTTGTTTATTTGATTAATCTTCACCAGTGGTTTCCCCGTCCCCAAGAAAACTTCAAGTTTCAGTGCTTGAAAATGTCTTTCTGTTGCCTTTATACAGCAATGTCAACTTGGCTGCATGTTCAGTTCTGGTGTCATGCTCTTTGCTTTTTCCAGGCACAGGGAGCAGCTAGTGCAAAGGCCTTGAGGCTAGTGAGGCCAAATGGTAGATTAAAGATAAGATTTAGGGCAGAAGGAAGGGGCCAGAAAATTTAGGGCCTTGTAGGCTGTTCTATGGAATGAGAATCTATTCTAGTGAATGAGTTGTTGTTTAAGCAGGAGAGTGATATGACCCAGTTTTTTCTTTGGAGGATGCCCTGAAGAGAAGAATAAGCATGGAAGCGGGCAGGTCAGTGAGGAGCTAGTGCAGCCGTCCAGGCAGAGGAGGTGGAGGTGGTTTGGGGGCTGGAGTGAGGGTTGTGAGGTAGAATTGACAGGATTTATCTGTGGAGTGTCTGTGCGTGGAGAAGGGTACGGAGACAGTGAATCAGGGGTGATACCGGTTTCTGATTTGCGCAATGGGTAGATGGAAGTGGAATTTACTGAATTAAGGTAGACTGTAGAGAGGAGGTGAAATCAAGAGTCTGTTCTGGCCATTGTAGGTCTGATGTCCTTCCTTCATGTCCCTCTGCTCCCGATTCCCCGCCTTTAGTGTGTTCTGAACTTGGGAAACGGGACTGTTTCCTGCTGCTTCTAGGGTTCAGCTGTGACCCCCGTCCAGGTTGTGGTCTAAAAGGTTTTTGGCTGAGCTCCTGAGGACCCTCTCAGCCACTTCTAGAGAAACGAGCTCTGCGTGTGAGATCTGGAGATGTACGCACAGGCTTTTTTCCACTTCCTTGGGTTGATCCCAGTTTTACTGTGTCTGGCGGGTATTCTTGATAGTCCGTGATTTGAGGTTCTAATTGTCCCAGATTTTACTGTCAGTTGAATTTTTGCTTCCTAATTTCATTCACTTTGTTAATTTCAGTGTTTTCTGGGAATGGAAGGAAATAACTCTTATTCTGCTAACTTTTTCCAGAAGACCCTGTACATTTAGTTTTAAACTACCCTGTGTGTGTGACTTTTGAGCCTTTTTTTTTCTGGCCTTCTGGGTTCTAAAATAAAAGTTGAATTAGAAGTTCTCTCAGTGTCTGCGTGTGTATTGTAACAAACTGCATTAATAAATTATTGTTACTTTCTTCTTTCTAGATGTTTCCTGTAATGTTTCTGTGGATAAGGAACAGATACTATCCAAACGTAAAAATGAAAATGGTTGGTGAGTAAGGCTATATCTATGTGAATATGTACATTAGAGAAGATGTTTATTTTTCAAATAAAAGTCTTTAAGGAGACCATCAGCAG